TTTTCCCCACTGCCTTGAGACTTGAAACAATTGTATAGAGGGTGATTAATAAATTGATGATCATGATGATCTGAGTAGGGCATCCTTTTTCATCAGGCAAATGTATTCGTAAAACGGTGATTTGGGTGAGTTTTTTAAACAACAGCAACAACAACTTACCATGAGGATTGCATCAATAGAATCCCTTTGGGCCACTGCCCAGACGCCCAGGCGAGAATGGTGAAGTTGCCCCACGGGTAGGAAATTGGCAGCCAGTATGCCATGCAGCCCCTGTCCAGGGCAGAAGAGGATGATGAGCAAAAGAAAGAAAATAAAAGAATGTGAGAAGCGCCTGCTGGATCTGGCCAATGGCCCATCTAGTCCAGCATCCTGTTTACACAATGGCCAAACGGATGTCTCAACAGGAAACCCAGAATCAGGATTCGAACACAAGAGCAGCTCCTGCCTCCTGCCCTTTCCAGCAACTAGTATTCAGACGCATTGCTACCTCCAACTGTGGAGGCAGAGCAAAGCCACCCTGGCTAGTAGCCAGTGACAGCATGATTAAATCATTCCAAAAGCACTTAAAAACAACAGTATTCTTCAGCCAGCAAATGCAACTGGGTTACAAGGAGCATTTTCAAATTCTTCCTGAAAGTTAATAGGGACGGAGACAGGCACCCCTCACTAGGGAGGGTGTGCCACAAATGAATTAATCAACAGATTACCGTAATTAAACGCGGTATTACTAACTTACCATGTCGTCAGCAGCCAGTGTACCAGGATGATAGCCTGCAAGTGGAAAGGAGAAAATTATGTAGCCCGATTATTAATCTCCCAAAATATCTAGATAGCACTGTGCCATAGGAATTTATCGCAACAGTTTACAGCAGTATAAAATAAAACCATAAAAAGTTAGAAACAAGTTAAAAGCAAAAGAGTTAAAAGCTAATATCAGTAGAACATTGTGGGGGAAGTACTCTTAATTGCCTACATCAGCCTGGAATAACAGAAAGGTTTTCAGCAGGTGTTGGAAAGCTGGCACAGAAAGCGCACCTGGCTGAATCTCTAGTGGCAGAGAGTTCCACAGGACTGGGCCGATGGCACTAAAGGCTCAGTTACTCATTGTTGTCAAATGAGCCCCCCCCAACTTGCAGAATAACAGCGACACTCCTGCAGACGATCTTAGTGAGGGTTCAGGCGATCCTTGCGTTATCGTGGACCTAAGTTGTTCAGAGCTTTGCAAATTACTGGAAGAATCTTGAGCCTGGCTTGGTAGTAGATGGGCAGCCAGTGCTTTTACAAAGGCGTCCCAAATTCTTGACGAGAAGCTCCTGTCAGCAATGCTGGACGCAGCGTTCTGAACCAGACCCCAAGGGCAGCCCCACACAGAGCGCACTGCAGTAATCTAGCCCCAAAGTCACCAGTGCAGAGACTACAGTGGTCAGGCTATGTGAGGTGGAATAAAAACTTGCTGCAATATCTTTGCTTATCTTTTATTTTTAAACAATAATCAAACAGCTGCAACTCACAGCAGCACCATACAAAGCATTTGGTCAACTTAAATACAGTTTCAAAATAATCAATTACCCTATCACATCGCTGCATTTGGTGCAGCAGGTAAACTCCCCCTGCTAATTAGTTAAATTGTTAAGATACTCAGGTGTACTGTATTGTCAAGAGCTCACAGATGTGCTGCCAAGCAGGTTATAAAACACCATCGCTCACAAACAAAATCTCAAGCATGCTGAAAGGAGGGCCATAGACAATCTCAGGAACAGCCCAGACATTATAATTAAGAAGGCAGACTAGGGTGGAGCTGTTGCCATCATGAACAAAACTGATTAATTCAGGAGGGCTCACAGGCAACTCTCCAGTGCCGGCCTTTTACAAAAAACTGGACTCAGACCCCACACAGGAATACAAAAAAGAACTGAATAAGATTGTTAAAGAGCTACCCCCCACCCACATCCAAGAACAGATCCACTCAAACACACCAACAGAACCTGGACCAGGTAACCTTCTATCTTCTTCCCAAAATACACAAAGCAGAAAATCCAGGACGCCCCATCATCTCAGGTATTGGGCACTATCACAGTAGGTGTTTCTGGGTATAATTACAAACACACACCTCTGAGTAGCACCAGTGACCACCTCAATATTAAGAAAACCCAACAGGCTGTCCCATCTAGGAACAGCTGTAGTGGTGTGAACAGATGAAGCTGGTAAAAGGCAACTTAGCCACACACTTGGGCCTTTAGTGACACTGATGTATTCAGGAGTACCCTCAGGCTATGCACCTGCTCCTTCAGAGGGAATACAACCCCATCCAGAACAGGTAACTTGCCAATTTCCTAAACATGGGAAGCCACCCACCCCAAAGGAGCCTCTGCCTTCCCAGGGTTCAAAGGCAGATAAGGGATCACAATGGGAATTTCAGCAGTGGCTGGGAAGTGGGGGTGAAGAGAGAAAAAAGAGCTACCGGAAGGTAATAAAGGGAAGGATTTGAGGAAATGCAGGTAGCATTTCGGTTGGGTTTCATCTGAGGCAACACCTGCAGAGCCACAGATGCCCCCGCCACAGCTTTAAGGAACTACAGTAGTACCTTGGAAGTCAAACGGAATCCATTCCGGAAGTCCGTTCGACTTCCAAAACTTTCGGAAACCAAAGCGCGGCTTCTGATTGGCTGCAGGGATGTCCTGCAGCCAATCGAAAGCTGCAGAAGCCCAGCCGGACATTCAGCTTCCAAAAAGCATTCGCAAACCGGAACAGTCACTTCCAGGTTTGCGGTGTTCAGGAGCCAAAACATTTGAGAAATAAGCTGTTTGAAAACCAGCCACTCTGAGAGCCACAGCTGAAGAGCAGCTACCATACACTTTAATAAACTAATTGTATTTTATTTGGGGCTCTATGCAAGTTCTAAACAAGACCTGTTTTCTCAGTGATTTTGCAATGTTTGAAAGCAGCGCCGAATGCACTCATAACCCATTTCCTTCTTCCTGGTATGAGGCAGCATTAAATAAAATTGCTAAGAAATAATTGAGAAACTGGAAGCAGAAAACGTACAAGGGTGCTTGTGTTTTAGGAGCAATGTGTCCTTTCTGACCTGCGATGACAAGAGAATGTAGATTTGTTGTTGATTGACGCAATTGGCAAACATCCCAGTCCAGAAAATTTGTGCCAAGCATCCCGTTTCCACAGCTGCCTTTCCTATAGGATTCAGCGCTAGGTTTAAGGACAATCCTGGGGGACAGCCCCTGTGGTGCCGAAAGCAACACAAAAGTACCCCCAAGCTGATTAAACCAGCTTGAATGGCTTTTCTAAAATTGTTTTATGGGGGAACAGATGGAGAGACCCAGGGGTGTGGGAGTGGTTAGAGAGTTACTTGGCACTAGGACCTGGGCAGACTGGGTTCCAAATCCCCCACTTGGCCATAGGATGTTCACTGAGTGATCCTTGGGAAGGCTTTGCTGCCTGTCATAGCCATAACCAACCTCACAGGGTTTGTTTGTGAGCTTTATTAAAATAAGGAGGGGAAGCAGGTGCGAGAAAACCACCACATGCCTTTTCCTGAGCTCCTTGGAGGAACAGGTGCGATAGAAATTCATTAAATTTGTTTCTTTCATTGAACAAAATTTATATACGGCACTTGATGGCGCAGCAAAACCTCTAAGCAAGGTTACAAAGACATATTAAAACCATCAATAGAAGAAAACATGTAAAGACAATGAAAAGCAGCTACAAATAATTGAAAAGGATTGAAACATGTCAGCATCTATGGTGTCTGGATGCAGTAACATTTAACATGTTTTAACGGACACATAAATAAAATGTAATAATAGATAAACAAATCTTTCACCAGCTATGAGCCCAACAAACCTCCATTGACATGTGCAGTATACCTCTGAATGCCAGGTGTTATGGGCATAGCCCCCCCCCATTTGTGAGCTCTTTAGAGGCATTTGGTTAGCTGCAGTCACAAAACAGGATGCTGGATTTTTGGGGCGGTCCAGCCAAAATAATCCTTAATATTCTTAGAAGTGCCTCTGAGCATGTGAGAAGGACCCTTCCCTCCCTACCAAGCCCTCTACCACAACATGCTTAAGATATTCAGTTGTCTCCCACGTTAGTCTTACTCAGGTCGATTAACTTCAATGGGTCTACTTTTGAGTAGACTTAGTTATATCCACCTAAATTGGATACAGCCCAATGTCTTGGCATATTTAAAATAATGTACATGCAAATAATAAAATCCTTGAAAGTTTCTGGTCCAGTGTAAGATTCGGTGAGAGCCAATCTTGATTGAAAAATGGGAGTAAACATCATCTGTCAAAGAATGGGAAAAACAACAACAGACCACATATATAAGATATATACAAAGGCCAGTGAAATGCCACTGGAGATTGTCAACTTCCTGAACCAGTAACATGTCACAATGCCATTATCACTACTGGTAATTCTCTTTTAAGAAGCCTAAAGCAAACAGGGAAAATATAATTTGTGTATATTAATCATTGAAGCCGACAGCGTTTAATATATTCAACGTCTAAGCTGACCGCTTTTTTAAAAATGTCCAATTATATTAAGCAGCAACGCTTCTGGGGGACGGGGTGTTTAGCCAATATGCAACAATCATTAAAAAAGACTTGGCTAATTAAAAATCTGGCCCCCCCCCAGCCATCCACTCAATATGCAACATTCATTAAAAAGAACCTCAGCTAATTAAAAAAATTGCTCCTCCCCAAGCTCTGTAAATGCCCCCGAGACCACCACACGATTAACACAGAGACCCTCTGCAAACACAGCTGGACTTTTGACAAAATTAATTGCCCCCTTATGGTTACAGAATGAAAAACTGGAAGGGAGTGGTGGTCTCTGCCCGCAGGAACCTGGTAAACATTTTATAACCTTTGATGCATAATTGCTTGTGGGTCTGGGGGGTGTTTTTTGGTGCGAGGGGAGGGGAAAGAAACTCTCACAACAGCCAAGGATGGTTCGCAAGGAGTCAGGAATAGCTGGGAGTTTTAGAATTCCTCAAGGCCTTCTTGATTTTTTTCCCCTCCCCAAAACTCACAGAGTAGGATTTTGACAGTCTATTTGCAAATAGATCCATAAGCACACAGTGCCCCACACAACCTCTCCCTCAAGGCTGCGAGGGGGGGGGGCCCACTGATGAGATGCCAAAAAAATGGAGATCAACTTTCAAGGCCACCACAAAGGACTCTGTTTTATTCATTATTGGCCGCAGACCAAAGAAAACAGACCATAAAATCTCCAGAGCTAAGACTCTTATGATCTCCCAGGAGCTGCCTTGTCTCTCTCTGACATCACAGCAGCTAAGCAATAGCAGCTAGCTAGGGAACATCCTCACTTTTGACTTTCAGGTGTCTCTTTGAAAAAAAAAAAATTAATGACAACAGCCCTGTGAATTTTTCTTTTAAAAAAAATAGTGAGTAGCAAGTCATTTTAATGGTTGTTTTGTGCTTCTCGTAATGCTTTAAAAACACACTGATATTGCTGCAAGCTGTTCTAATATTTGTTGGGTGGTACAGAAATACTTTTGTAAATAAATAAACACCTGCTTGCCACTTCTCACCCTAGTGAGACCAGCCAATGAAGCTGACCAGTAGAACTTCAGGACCTTGATGCAGTACCATGAATCTAAAAAAACAGGTATTTCACACTGCACGCAAGGAACAATAAAATAAGATAAAAACCAGCGTTTGAGGAAAGTTACTACTTTCATGAGTTATGCATCAGCAGATATGTTTTGCATTCTTTAGGGCAGTGTT